TAAGTACTGGAATTTTACACTATTCTGGGACAGCAGATTAAAACCATGTTCTGCTCTGTGTAGAGAATACATGGACACTGGGGATGTACTTGCTATCTTCAGACAGCTTTGGAGCCAATGGACTGTTTTCATCACACCTGGTGTATGGGGTTTTTTGAGGGGTTGAGTTTGGGGTATTTTTGGCCTTTTGACAGAGTTTTTTCTAGAAAAAAACAAAGTTTCTGTAGATTTCAAGGTTTGACACTGATTCTACTTTTAATGTAGTAAGAGTTGCGTTTTGTTTTGGCATTTCTGCTTGGTTTGTGAAATCCTGGGAGCTACAGAAGGGGCATTAGCTCAGGTGTAAGGAGATATTTTGAAGCAAATAACTGGCACTTTGCTATTTTAATGGATACAACTGCTGTTAGGCAGCACGGGGTGTTGTGATGGGGTGTAATCAAAATAAATACATGCATAATTGCATTAAGTCAAATAAGCTAACACACATGGAGTGGACTGGGGGTAGAATCAACCTGGGGAAAAAAGATCTGGTTTGTGATCCTGGCTTGGCAGTGAATTTACAGCCTCTCCTGAATCTGCCTGTATCTGAGGTTCTCTGCCAGCCCAGTGGGATTGTCATGCTGGTTGACACACATTGATAGGAAGTGCCCAGCAGTGCCAGGTATTGTCATTCCTACTGTGCTGGTTTTGACTGGGTGTTATGGATTATTGCACAGCAGCCACTGCTACAGGGTTCGACCCTAGGATCCTGCTGAGAGTGCCAAGCCTGAGGGAAGGTTTCCAATTAGTCTTTTATTAGTTCTTAGGTCACATCTTGAGCCTCCAGAGAAAGACCCCTACCCCAGTTCATGTGTCTCAGTTATACCACCCATCACCCTCCCCTCAAGTCCAACCCCAACTCTAGTCACTTAATCTTGCTCAGTCATCTCTTGATTTTTTATTGCTTTTCACTGTCACTGGGCTGGTTTTCTTCTGAAGTTACTTCATTCTCTAGGAATTGTCTTCTTAACTTCATTCCACTCATATCTGCTAAATCCAGCCAGTTCTTTGTTAATTTGGTATTAATTTTCTCCAAAAAGTTTACTCTCAGTTAGCTCTCACAGGCAAAAGCTTCAGCTGCTTTAGCTGCTAATGCTGAGCCTCTAATGCTAAACAAGGCTATTCAGAGAACAAAGTTAATCAAATTTCTCCTGTAACACTGGGATGAAGTGAATTTTTTTCCATAGTAGCTGGTATGGAGCTGTGTTTTGGATTTGTGCTGGAAAAAGTGTTGATAACACAGGGATGTTTTACCTATCACTGAGCAGCACTTACACAGAGGTAAGGGCTTTTCTGCCTCTCATCCCACTCCACCAGCACAGAGGTTGGGGGTGCACAAGGGTTTGGGAAGGGACACAGCCAGGACAGCTAACCCCAGGGCTATCCCACACCATATGGATCCATGCTCAGCATGTAGAGCTGGGGAAGGAGGAGAAGGGGGTGATGTGCAGCATGATGGTGTTTGTCATCTTCAGGCAATGTGATGGATCCCTGCTATCCTGGGGGTGGCTGTACATCTGCCTGTGATGGGAAGTGGGGAATGAATTCCTTGGTTTGCTTTGTTTGTCTATGAAGCTTTTGCTTTACCTGTTAAACTGTCTTTATCTCAACTCACAAGTTCTTTTGCTTTCACCCTTCCAATTCTTTCCCTCCCTGGGGGTGAGTGAGCCAGCATCTGTGTGGGGCTGAGTTTCCAGCTAAGGTTAAACTACAATACCTCTAATCTAAATTAAATTTTTGTCTTAAACCCAAGTTACAGGAATAAGGGAATGAAAAGCGACAGAGAAGCTTGTGAGATGATGATGATCTGGGAGATAACTTCAGATAGAGCCAGATGCATTGTAGGAGAGGAGGTATAAATAATATCCTTTCCTTTTAAGAAGGTCTTGCTCAATATTTTTCAAAGGACATTAATGGGTTTCTCATTTTTCAGGTGCTCAGCTGGTGATGTTTCAGAGGCCTGATTTTCAGATTGCAGGTGTGCAAGGCTTTCTCTAGGCATTTCCCTCTGTGTCGTTGCAAAATGGATACCTGCAATAAAGAGCTGCTTTTGCAAACATTAACTTTCCTTTTTTTTCCCAGTTGTTCTCATTGTTTAAAAGCCTGGATTTGAGCATCACTTTGGTTTGGTTTGGTTTTTTTTAAAAATAAAAGACAAACAAACAAACCCTCCACTTTCATTGTGGCCTCTGCTTGTATCTGAATCGATCCTTTTAGATGGTTTATCTCAGAAATTGTTTTTCAAAATGATCTTTTGCTTTACTCCTGGTGCTGAAAGATTGAGACGTTTGGAGAAAATGTGTTTCCTTCAGCCTTGTGTTGCAAAAGTGTGCTAGGAAGGCTTGTGGGCAATAGGGACATCATAATGATCAGATTGGGCTGGATCTATGGTCTAACTGACCAGCACTTTTGCTGACTGAGATCAGAATGTGCTGCTTTATTGGGAGGTGTAAGACCCCAAAGTGTGTGAGAGTGAGAGGACCAGTTGGGAAATGCAGCTCTCTGCCAGGCATCTCTGGAGACTCCAGTGCCACCTCCTCATCAGCCCAGCCCCTGATCCTCAAAGTATATTGTTATTGTGCAGTAATGTCTTGCTTTTCCTCTTCTCCTCCCCCTTCCCCTCTGTCCAGCCTTGTGGCCTCACGTGTGTATCCATGTGGGGGTATCCAACAGGATTTTCCCCTTCTCCATCCTCCTTTCCTGCCCTTGGTGACTCTCCCTGCCCCTCCAGACTGAAGCCTCACCCCTGTTGTGTTCCTGTGTTGTCACGTAGGGAGTTTGCCCGTTGGAAGGTGAGGAACACAGCCATCGAGCGGAGGGACCTGCTCCACAACCCACTGCCCCTGATGCCTGAGTTTCAGAGGAGCATCCGCCTCCTGGGCAGGAGACCCACCACGCAGCAGTTCATTGACACCATCATCAAAAAGTACGGCACCCACATCCTCATCTCTGCCACCCTGGGAGGTAGGTGGCAGCCTGGGCTGTGTTCTCACGGGGGTGGGGGTGCTGGTGAATGTATTGGGCAGCACTGCAAATGGGGCCAGTTCTGAGCTCCTCATGTCGAGACAGACATGGAGCTCCTGGAGCAGGTCCAGCAGAAGGCAATAAAGATGATGAGGGGACTGGAACATCTCTCTTATGAGGACAGGCTGAGGGAGTTGTGCTTGTTGAGAAGGACCTTATCAGTGTCTGTCAGTATCTATGGGAATGTGTCAGAGGCTGGAGCAGGTTCTGCTCTGTGGTGCCAAGCAATAGGGCAAGAGGTGACAGGCAGGAACTGATGCACAGGAATTTTCACCTGAACATGAGGAAGAACTTCTCCTGTGCCAAGCACTGGCACAGTTACATGAGGAAGAACTTTTCCTGTGCAGTGGCCAAGCACTGGCATAAGTTGCCTGGAGAAGGTGTGGAGTCTCTCTCACTGGACATACTCCAGAACCATCTAGGTGCAATCCTGTGCCATATGCTCTGGGATGACCCTGCTTGAGCAGAGAGGTTGGAGCAGATGACCCACTGTGGTCCCTTCCAACCTGACCCACTCTGATTCTGGAACCATGGCCACGCTGGGTAAGGGGCTGACTGGGAGCACAGGGCCAGGCTGCAGCTCCCCCAGCTCAAACCTGTCTCATTGTCAGATGCTGTGAGATGGTGTGAGAGTCCCAGAGCACAAATAGCCTTGGCAAATGAATTCACAGCACAAGGTGTGTGAGTTCAGCACCTGTGCTATGTGTGCATCTGTGCTCCTCTGCCAGCAGTGTGTGTGTGAGGAGAAACACATCATTCAGCCAAGGAACCTGTCTGTCATCCCTGCACTGCTGTCCTTAGCTCCATAATAGAATGTGTTGATCCCTCTTTGTTACAGAATGAAAACAAATGCAGTGGGGAAAAACATTCTTTCTTGCTGTGACTGGAGGAATTTTAAAGAGCTCCTTTTTTAAGGGGAGTTCAAGGAGCTGGTCAGGGAGAGTGTGCAGAGGGGAAGAGACAGCCAGAAGGCCTGTGCTGAATGCACAAGTGAAAACAGTAAGGAGTAGGCTTTGGAAAAAAACAGCAGTTAAGTAAAATTCCAAATGTATTTGCAAGGGCTGCAGAGAGGTCTGTGTGAGCACACAATGATGACATCAGAGAGAGCACTGTAGGGCCATGAACCCATGAGTGTGCAATGCTGGTGGTGCTGCATAAACATTTTGAGTAGTGAGTATTGAACATGGGAAGGGGGAAAATCAGCAGCTCCTATTGATATTTGCTGCTGATTTATTTTTCTCCTCTCTTATACTATTTTCACCATTCTTTACCCCTTTGGGGTGTGCTTTTCTTTCACTTAAATGCCTTTCTTCTGAGAACTATCTGTGAGAAGGAATCTGCAGTGGTAAAGACTTAATTTTAGGATGTATTTGTTGTTGCTCCTTCTGATGGACCTCACCTCTAGCCTTGCCACATTGTGAAGTTTATAGTGAACTTTGAGGAATTTCTGGCCATCTGTCTGTCCCCAAATCCTTCTGCAGACACTGGGATGAGACAGAGACGAGATGAGATGGGTGCTTATGACTCATGCACAGATTAGGTGGGAGGTAAATTGGCTTAGTTCCACTGAAGTCAAATGGGCTCTGGTGTGGCAACATCCTTCAGGGATCCTCAGGCTGCTCTTCCAGTCCAGACACTCCAACTGTCCACTCCATCAGCAAGAAATGTGAGAGGAAGCAGCTTTGCAAGCATTGAAGAGTACAAGTGACTGCCTGCATCAGTCCTTAATGAAGTCTCTGTAAAGATGAACTGCTTTTTATTGAGGAAATCACTTTTCAGGCCCATGTTTTACAGAGCCCAAGACAGCCAAGTGAAGGGAGAGATTTTTTTGTGGGTTTGCTTCTCTTTCCATTGACATGCCTCTTTCTTCTTGCCACTCACATCTGTGGAAATTCGAAATAGGAAAGACCTTTGATGGTAAAATATATTTTTAATTTTGCCTGGATGAGGCTGTGAATTATTCACAGGGGCTTGTTTCTTCTGATTTTACAACACAACAACTTTAAATATGCAGAGGCTTGTAGTGAGAGCTAGTGTTGGAGAGGAGATCTAAATGCTCCACCAGCCTGGAGCATGGTGAGCAATGGTAGGGGAGACAAGAAGGATTTATCTTGGCAATGGCAGTCCCAGGAAAAATGTAGATGTAGCTGGGCATGCATTATGCACAGAGGACAAAGTCTAATCACAGGCTGTGGGCTAAACAAGACCAATGGGATAGAAAACCAGACACTTGCTCTCCCAAGACCTCGTGTCTCCTCAGAAAAGTTCCAAGCATTCTGCCCTGGATTGCAGTTGTTTGTAACTCAGCCTGATGTCTTTATTAGGTTGCAAACGAGTGACAAACACACAGGAAATTGTTTGGCTTTTAAGCAGCAGCTGTTGCATGGAGCCCAGGAGGCTGGGGATGGATCAGCCCAGCCCACCTGAACACAGCAGCTATTTTCACACCTGGTCTCATGAGGAACAGCTCTGAGCCTTTCAACCTACAGAGCAGCCAGGTGCCCCCAGAGCCCAATAAACCCCAGCTCTGCCCCAGCTGACTTCTGCCAGAGGGATTGGTGAAGAGTCATTTTGAGGGCATCGATGCTCTGGGATGGAGCACACAGAGCCGAGAGCCAATTTGCAAGCAAAGTCCTAAAAGAAAAACAACTTTGAACAGAACATCCTCTTAATAAAAGAGAAATGAAGCCATAATAATGCAGCAAAACTCTGTTAACCATCTTGATCTAAGAGGTTCTTTCCCATGTGTCCCTTTCCAGAGGGATGCTGTGCTTTTCCAGTCTGCACACACGTACACACAGTAGGTTTCCAGCAGCAATGTGTTTCTGCTCAGCATCCCTCACTCCTAGGGGACAGTATTTGCCCCTCAGGAAAAGCAATGGATCTCAGGGGCTTTATTTTTCTATTTTCTTCCTCTCCTTCCCAGTGGAGGGGTCAGAACACCTCAGGGAGGAAAAATTGCAGCTTTTGTGGGGAAATCACTGATCCCAAATGCTCTAGGGCACAGGTTTCTCTTCTCTGATGTCTAGAGCTGTTGGAGATTCTCAGTGTCTGTGTCATATTGTCTAGGGCCTGGAAGCCAGTGGTGGATCTCCTGGTGATCTGACACCAATGCCTGCTGTGATTCAACCTAGACTTCTGCCTGCTCTCTGGCCAAGGCATCTCAACACCAGCATACCTCTTGAACCAGTCTGGAATGAAAAACTCCTGATTTTTGTGCCTTGACTATTAATAGAAAGCATGGCATTCTTCCAGAAAAAGCTTTTTTTTCCAGTTACTGCTGGAATTAACAAAGAGTTGATGGCTGGATCCAACAGGTTCTTCTACGAATTACAGCTAAGGGGAGAATTAACCCATGTCTTAATTAACCCATTACTGCGTACCCAGTTCTGGTGCCCTCAAAATAAGAAGGGCATGGAACTGTTGCAGCAAGTCCAGAGGAGACCACAAAGTTGCTAAGAGGACTGGAACATCTCCCCTATAAGGACAGGCTGAGGCTGTTGGGGCTGTTCAGCCTGGAGAAGCCTTTCAGTGTCTGCAGGGGCTCCAGAGAAGCTGCAGAGGGACTCTTGGTTAGGAACTGCAGTGACAGGAGAAGGGATAATGGGTTCAAATTGAAGGAGGGGAAATTTAGGCTAGATATTAGGAAAAAGTGTTTCCCTGTGAGGGTGGTGAGACACTGTCCCAGGTTGCCCAGGGAGGCTGGCTGCCCCAACCCTGGCAGTGTTCACAGCCAGGTTGGATGAAGCCTTGAGCAACCTGATCTAGTGAGGATTTGTCCCTGCCCAGGGCAGGGCTTGGGGCTGGATGATCTGTAAGGTCCATTCCAACCCCTAAAATTCTATGATTCTTCCTACTTCTGTCACAGCCTCACAAAATGGTAGCAAAGCATCATTTATGTCTGCTGTGTTTCTGTGCAGTTAAATACTTCCATCACACAAAAAATAGACAACTTCTGGCTCAAAATACACGTCCACACTGCTGCAGCCTCTCTGCCCCCAAACCTCTTGACTAATGCCCACGCAGATCTCCTTTTGGTGGTAAATGAGTTGACTCCTGAAAACTCACAAAGTCTGGCCTCCCTTCAAATCCCCTAGAAAAACTCCCCCAAAAGAGGAAAGCTGCAAAGTGCTCAGGTGTCTGGTGTGCAGTGACTGCTGTTCCTCACACTGATCACAGCCACCTCATTACCTGTGCTTTGCTGGCTGTTTGCTGCAGCACCTGTTGTGTCTCAGGGCTTAAATCCTCTGGGACATGGACTATCTTTCTGTTTGTGTGCACAGAGCCTGATGTGACAGAGCCTTGATCCCTGCCAAGGTCTCCTCACATGCTCAATGCATAATAATGTCAGTGGTGATAAAGGAAATCAAAGCTGGTCATTTTCCAGGGGAAGTGTTTTTTGTGAGAAGTAACAATGGTGATACTGTTACTACCCCAACTTTGATCGTGGTCAAAGGATAGTCTGCTATTTATAACAAAATAGTAAAGAGAAAGTTTTTACATGCCAAACTTTTCCACTTAGCTCCCGTGAAGCCAATTAAAAGATTTCAACTGATCAATTCTTTCCTTGTAAAGTATCTTCTTTTCACCAAAAAATATCCAGTTTTCAGCTCAAAGCCAAAGGCTGAATATTCAACATAACTAGTGCTTGAAAAACTGAAATCTAATAAAAATATTTTGATTTTCAGCCAGAATATTTTTGGTTTGTTTTCAGGCATTTGGCTTCCAGATAAAAGCTGGAAATTTTCCAGGGAAAGTGAAAGGGAAGGCTTACTGGGATTGGTTTGTTTTTTTTTTTATTTCATGTATGCAGTAAAAGAAATAATTTGGAGAAATCAAATAATTTCAGCTACTAAGAATTTTAAAGAAAAGTAAGTCCTTGTTCTCTTAAAAAAATATGCAAAGATGATGAAGAGCAAAATATATCTTGGCCTTAGAAGTGGTGGTACATTCTCTTTGCCCATGCTATCATTGCCAGAGGCTGTGTGTTCATCAGCAGCTCCTCCATCATATCACAACAAGTACCACTCTTTACATGAAGGGAGTTCTGTAGGAATTGCACATTCCTACTGTAGTTATCTCTTCATTTATTAAAACCAGAGCTTCATGTGTTGAGGGTGGAGGATGGCATTCTACCTTTTTAGTCCTCCTATAGTGCCAGCTTTGTGTTAAGAATGGACTGGATTTTAATCTGGCTCATCCAGCACAAATTAAACTTTTAAGTAAATATTACTTCTCAGCTTCATGTCCTTTTCAGATGAGTTTTGTTACATTCAGGTTTGTGCTGACGTTTAGCAGCTCTTAACTGCTTCACTCCCAGATTCTCTGTGGTTCAAAATCACCTCTTGTCCCTTATCTTGTACAATGTCTTTCACTCTCCACTTAAATTTTTTGACTGACACTCTGGGACAGGATGAAATGCAGGAAGGGTAGTTAGTTTAAATTAACTTTCTTATTTTCTCTTTTCTTTGATTGCTCTCCTTTACTCTCCCCCTTTTTCATGGTCACTGGAAGCTGAAGATGTACAACTAGCATTTATTTGTCCTCTGTACCCACCCACACAACCATGTCCTGTTTGCAACCATCATTTATTCCTTCTAAAAATTAGGTTAGACTTGCTTAAAAGTGGCACCTTCTCCTGTCAGGTGTGCATCATCTAGAAGCTCTGTCCACAGAGAAAATGTTCTTTGAGTGAGACAAATGGCCTAAGTCTTTCCCAGCAGTTGTGCCAAAGCTCTGCTGGCTAATCAATGTTCAAAATGTTGCCTGCTGAATTCAGTGGAGATAATGTACAAGTCTGGTGGACCTGAACTTTCTGGGTGAATAGAGAAGGAGGTTCATATATATATATATATATATATCACACTTTGGTTCTGAAGCTGGTGAGGAAGGGTGGATTCCTTCAAGAGTGCTTTAGGTGTCAGACTTTTCTGTCTTTAGGTGCAACTGATGACACCATTTGTTCCTGGTAAGATGACCCTACATGGCAGCCTGACATCTCCTTTTCTTTCTGCTGCAGGAGAGGAGGCCTTGACCATGTACATGGACAAGAGCCGCCTCGACAGGAAGTCTGGAAACGCCACCCAGAGCGTCGAAGCATTGCACCAACTCGCTTCCTCCTACTTTGTAGACCGTGATGGCACCATGAGGAGACTCCATGAGATCCAGATCTCTACCGGAGCAATCAAGGTACTATATCTTGCCTTAGGAGGAGAAAGAACATTGTGTGCCCATACCAATACCGTAGGGATTTGGGGCAGGACATTGCCATTCCAGTATGATGTCTTTTTTGATCACAAGTTGGTTTGTTCCCAGAGTTAATTTTTCTCTTATGGACCTTATTGAGGAATTGATTTCCCCAGGGCCAGTAATATCTGGAAAGAGATGGGCATTCAGTCTGATGGTTATGTAGGATAGGTTATGTAGGAGTTCAAAGCCAGGCTGGGTGAGGCCTTGAGCAACCTGATCTAGTGGGGAGGAGTCCCTGCCCATCACAGGGGGTTGGGACTAGATGATCTGTAAGGTCCATTCCAACCCCTAAAATTTTATGATTTTATGATAGGAGACTTCCACAAAGTGTGACAGTGATTTCTGGAAGGGAGAGAAGGAACTGAGAATCCAGATCAGTGCTGGAGGTTGGAAGGGAAAGACAAATCTGTGAAATGAACCCTGTGCCACCTAGAAGTATTTTTCTCTTGTGGGTGTAAGACTGCTAGACATCTCTCAGCTGAATTTACTACAAGAAAAGGTGAAAAACTCAGTGTGGCATTACTGAGGCATCTGGAATGAAATGGACTGAGAGACAGCTTGGGGTTGCAGCAGGAAGGAAGGGAAGCTGCTCAGAACATACAAAACAGGGAAAATGGCTCTGCAGACAAAGGCTGCCATCTCTGAAAGCAATCATCCTGCACTGGGCAGGGATTTTATTGTTGCAGGGTTCACTCCAGGGAAGGTGATGTGGATGGAGTCATCATTGTTAGCCATTTCTGAAAGGTTTCAGCTCTCGTTATTGTTCTGTGGTGTCTCGTGGCTGAGTCTGTTCCCTTCTGGATGGGAAATTGTATTGAGATATTGAAACAGTGACAGCAGATAATCACCCACGGTGAATTCTGGAAGGGCAGTTCTCCTCCATGGCTGGAAACCAACAGCAACAGCTCTGCAGGTCATCTGTGCCTCCATCTATCCTCAGCACAAAGATGGTGTTCACATATGTCGTGTGAGCACTAGGAACCATTGTGGGCTGGCAATCCATCTCTGCTTCTTGCTTTCCAGTAAGAGAAGCCAGGGAATAAGTCCTCTACTGGCTTCTGATGTTCTCTAATGGAGATCCTCTATGAGAAACCTCAATCTGCAGGATCCCATTGCCAAGCTCACAGTAACAAGCAGTACCATAAAGAAATCAGGCACAATTCGTTCTGGTTTTTCTGCTTACGAGTGCACCAAACGTTAACCATGTCTGTCTGGGGTGGGGCACAACAGTTAGGGAAGATGTGTTTTGGGTTGTGACAAGCAGTCATTGTATGATAAGGTTTGAAAAAGCCTGGGGAAGGTGTGGTGCTGCAGTCAAAGGCAACACTGTCTTTTCTACATCCTCCACAGGTAACAGAAACTCGGACTGGCCCCCTGGGCTGTAACAGCTACGACAATCTGGACTCTGTGAGTTCTGTCCTTCTGCAAAGCACTGAGAGCAAACTCCACCTGCAAGGTAGGGCACAGCAATGAGATGGCAGTGCAGGGCATGGAAGGGGGGTGGGAAATGAGACAGGTGGAGCCCTTTTTCCTAGTCTTTTCCCCTCCTCAGCTTGCTGTGATTCTGCCTTCACTGTAAGTCCCTTGAAGCACAACCAGTGGCTTCTGGTGGCTTCGGATGATGCTCAGCAGAGCAGAGCCAGGGCTTGCCAGGCACTGAGCTAAAGGCACAAGGTACTGCAGACTGGCCCCACTGAAGAGTCTGAGCACCCCTTGCCATTGAATTTTGATGGACTTCTGTGTATTATACATACACCAATATAAAAACATGTGACCTTTCCCGTCAATATCGAAGGAACATTCAGTCCACGTCTCTTTGCCCCTCCCAAATTGCTGATTTGGTAAGAGGTTTGCAGATCAGCTTTTAGGACTCTCTAATGACTGTAATCTTTGGGAAAAGTCATCGAGGTTTTATTTGGATGCTAGAAGCCATGGCTTCAGTCCCAGCTGGGGAGCTAGTCCAGAAGTCAACAGATAGAGGTCATGACTGAATTAATAAATAAATACATGCTGGTTAGCAGGAAGTCAACTTCAGTAGAAGGAGGAAATTCACTGGCTGTGTAATTTACTAAGGTTATTCCCAAGCGTTTTTTTTGACAAAATAAGGAAATGTGGGATTTAATTGCTCATTTGCCCAGATGGTTTTATTTCTGGAATCCTTGTACTTGCACAAGTTTTAATTTTTCAGATGAATGGGCTACATTACATCTTCCGCTTTGAGTATAATTTGGCAAGTGCTGTTTTAATCTTTGGTTTCACAGAAACTGGGTTTCATTTACCGAGTAATGTTGTGGATATATTATTATTGTTGTTATTATTTGCCTTTAAAAATAATAGGCAGGTTGTTTGCACTGTTCCAGTGATTATCCAAATCACTGAGTTCTGGTTCTTACCTAATTAACAATAAGCAATTTGAGGGGTTTTGTATTCTGTGATGATGGCTGCTGGTAATGAAACCCCAAGCATGACACATCAGATAACTAAGTAAACAGCTAAATCAGCAGGCAGCTTTGGGTATAGGCAGACAAGTAGGTAAATCAATAGACCTCTATTGGCTATCTGATCCTACAAGAGAAGAGAGAAACCAAGGGAGGGGAAAGGAGGCAGAGGAAAAGGGAAAAATTAGGAGAGAGAAAGGATGTAAGGTTGATGAGAATGTGATTTCTGATGGGAGCAGACAGAGGACCTTGGGGATCAGCCACACTTGGGTTTCATGAAGCTTCATGGCATAAACCAGTGCAGAGAGGCAAGACTCAAGCCAAGGGAGACAGTGAAGGAAGGGAAGAAGACAGGAACTTGTCCTAATAGAACAAGGTGACCTTTAAAGCTACACCTGAATTTTCTACCTAATGTGGAGTGTGGTTCTTGGGATAATTACCTGGGATCCTTCCTCTGCTCTGAGAGGCCTCATTAGGAATTAGGGCTGCAGCAGGTAATGGATCGTGACCGAGTCTCCTCTGATCTGATTAGCAGCCGAGCATGAGCTGCTGACAGAAATCCATGTTACTGCCTTCATGTCACTCCAGCTCTGAGCCTGGCTCAATAAAAGAGCAGCTTCTTCATGACAGGGAGAATTTCTGTTTCTGAACTTGCTGCCACCCAGCCTTGAGCTGTGGGTTCAAAGCCAGGCCCTTAGGAGATGCAACAGCTGGAACGTGGCACTTAGTGCTGTGGCTTTGTTGGCAAGGTCAACTGGTGTTGCTCAAAGGTTGGACTCAATGATCTTGGAGGTCTTTTCCAACCTAAATGATTCTGTGATTCTATGAACCAGAGCTAAGCTACCTTCATGACAGCACATAGGGTTTGGGAATGTTGGCCAGCCTGGAGATTCCAGAGAAGGACAGTGCAGGGTGTCTGATCCTGCACTCTGTGGCTACATGGACAGGAAAGAATCACTAATTTATAAACCAGCATCCATGTGGACCCAAGATGCATGTACATCTGTATCAGATGCCTGCATTGGGGGATATATATACAATATTTATCACAGAGCTCAAATTTCCCTTTTTCCAGTGCTCCCTGGAGCAGAATCCCTGTCCTGTGTGTGTGGAGGGCTGTGTGCTGGTGCAGCTTCCCTGCACAGGACTTGGGGATCCTGTTTTGGAGCAGGATCTCCCAGGTAACTGTACATATGTGCACTTTGTATCCTCCTGCCCCTGCCACCAGCATGAAACCATCCCTTCACCTGCCTCTACCTCCAACGTGGTAGGTAGAGCTGCCTGGAAAAGAGCACCAGAACATGGGAGAGGAAGATGTCAGCAGCTCTACAGCTGGTGGGAAATGGGAATTTGTGTTTCCTGGACAAGTGTCCTAGGCTAAAATTGTTAAATTTGAGTGAAAACAACATTTTGAAAAGTTTTAGGAAATGAAAATTCCAGAGACACATCCTGTTATGTCAATATTGTTATTGACAGCATATGTAAATATTGTGGCATGGCACTGATTCAATAAGGTAAAATCCTTCTGTGCTGTTCTAAACATTGCAACATTAAACAGGGAATATTGACTATTAGGTAGTTTGTTACATCAAATAGGGTAATATATTATCATACATAATATATAATGTTATGTATGAATATATAATATGAACTATATTACATTAGCATATTTATTATTATATTACCCTATATATACAAAGACCTATATGTATAAATACACATATATATTATGCACAAACACCTATGTATAGATATATTATATAGCTATATAATATAGATGATAATATAATATTAGAATTTACATTACAAGTGCTATTAAAGCCTTTGCCAGGATGGGCAAAGCAGTAATGACAACAAAAAACATTTCAGCTTTTCAGTGACGCGAAATGAGGAAGTATGAAAAAATACATTTAGAAAGTCAAAAGTGCTTTTGGAGTCAACATGCTCTCACAAAATGCTTCAATGAAACTGCATTTTCAACAGAGAACTCTTCTGTGGAAAATGTTTCAAATAGCTCTAATTTAGAACTGGGGAAATTTACCTCTTTTAATGCAGGAAGCCTTTTATATACAGTCCAAAGGCAAACATCTCTCTCTAATAGTTTTTCTAGGTGAATTAAGGACATGTTCCCTTGTCAGACACTTCATATTCTGCCTGTAGTTATTTAAGATAAACCTATATCAAATCTGTGCTGCTCTTAATTTTTAAAGAGGAACTTTGTGCTTTACAGAGAGGCAGAAGTTCTCCTGACCAACAAGTTACCTCCAAAAATAAGGTATTTTCCCTAACACTCATCACAAGCAAATGCACTTTCTTCATCTCTTATCAGCTACTGAGACTGTTGTGGGGGATGAGTTCATTCCTTATGGCCCCTGGCTTGGATTGAAGGGTTACCCCCATGGCAATGGCCTTTTTTTTCATCCCTATTCCCTCCAGGACAAAAAGTAATCTCCAAATCCAGTATCATTTGTAGCTTGGACCAAATACCTTGTCGTGCTGTTTCCAAGTTAAAAATCAAAGAGAAGATAAGGTGAGCTGAAGAGCCTGAGGTAATCTGGTCATATTTGAAGGGTGAGGCTAGAGCAGGTTGCTCCTCTGTGAAGAAGAGTGGAAAAATGTATTCATGGAACTTGGACCATGAATAAAGAATCAATGCACATCAAGACATCCAGCCCCACTCTCCTGTGAGTTTGAAAGCTCAGTGAGTCCAGCTGCCTTTGGGCTCTCCCAGCCCCTTTTGTGGATCAGTTCTCCAGTAACAATGCACTCTGATTCCATCCTGAAGGGAAGTTTTGGCTCCTCACAGGTGGAGCCATCCCCAGTGTCAGTGTGAAGGTTTGACAAGGGACCATCCCCCTGTAGTGATCACTTCAGATCAATCACAGAGTCACAGAATGGTTTGGGTTGGAAGGACATTAAAGCTCATCTCATTCCAACCCCTGCCATGGGCAGGGACACCTTCCACCAGCCCAGGTTGCTCCAAGCCCCATCCAACATGGCCTTGAATATTTCCAGGGATGGAGCAGCCGCAGCTCCTCTGGGCAACCTGTGCCAGAGCCTCAGCACCTCACAGGGAAGAATTTCTTCTGTGTATCTAACCTAAACCTAACCCCTTTCAGTGTAAAACCACTCCCTCTTGTCCTCTCACTACAATCCCTAAAAGAGGCTGCTCTTCAGTACTTCCTGAAGACAGCAGGAAGAAAGCTGAGCTTCTTGTTGAGAAACACCTCAGAAAAGACCAAAGGAAAAGACCAAAAGACCTCAAAATGCTGATTCTCCTTAGGCTAGTTTTGAGGTGTTTGCAGGGATGCTGTAGAATGGTCAGCTCTTGGTTTGTTCCTTCCTGTGCCCCAGTAACATCACAGAAAAGGCAGCAGGATCTGTGCAGACACAGTGCTGCCAAATTCCAAGCTTGCAATATTTGTCTAAGTGTCACAAACATCTCCAGCTGAAGGCTGCTCCATGCTCATCCTGCCTGGTGGCTGTCACTGCTCCGTGCTTGGCTGCCAATCGGGTCAGACAGCAGAGCAGCTGCTGCCACCAGGCATGGTGCTCACAGAGACCAGGGGAGAGAAAACAGAGGATCCTGTGCCTTCCACAGCCTCCTGATCCCCCCAAACCTGCTCTTCCAGAGGGACCTACTCAAGACTGAAGTGTCTCTCTGGATCCAAAAGCAAAAGGGTAATGGGGGTCCCGGGGTCACTGCCCACTGCTTTTCTCTTGTCTGAGGTGAACATGACCCATCAGAGATGGGCCTGAACTCCTGAAAGGGGTCACAGCCCTTTTTGCCATTCCTGCACACTCTCATCCTCTGAATTATTGTCTGATTTTCCTTCCACTCCACTGAGCTGTCAGCCACGGATCCGGTAATTCAGCGCAACAGAAACACAAACAGATGGGTAATTGACCCGCGTGCCTTCGTTACACTGGAGTTCAGTGCTGCTGCTCAGGCCATAAACTCCTTTAGCTGCCACTCTACAATCCCTGGGCCTTTTATGAGGAGCTGAGCAGGAAAGGCTTCCCATGAAAGGCTCGCTCAAAGTTATTGTCATCTGCCTCGTGCACCACAGACACTGACAGAGTCTGACAAGCAGGACTTGCCAGGTAGAAGAAAACAGCTGTGACTCCTCAGGGAGAGCTGGAGGGAGCCTGGAGGAGGACAGGATGGAAAAACATGTACACTGTGCACAGGGCAAACACTTAAACTGTTATTATGTCCTCTGGTACCTGAGCAAGGGTACACTTACACTAATGCCTGCACAGATGGATGGATACACAAACACTCGCTATGGAGAAAGAGACATGGGGATAGTTCTCTCAGCTAATGTAAATCTTCAGAGCACCACTGAAATCATTGCCACTAAATCCATTTGCACTTTTATAGGATTTGGCAAGTAGCCTTCCTAGCAGGGAGTGAGCTGCAAAGACTTGGGTATCCAACTCCTGTATTTATGCTGTGGGAGCTGGGCACTTAACTCTGCAAGGGGCTTTTATAAATCCCTCCCTGTGTTATTTTCCTTTCTTCTGTTTTCTGTTCTTTCTTATTTTCTCTTTCAGTGTGTATTTTCCTTGTTTCTGTGGTACCAAACCCATTTAGCCTACCTCTCAAAACAGGTCAGAGCAGCATAATGCTCATTGCTTCTGAACTAGCACTTAGTTTCAGGGGATTAAAAAACCCACACCTGGGAATAAGGGAGGCTTTGCTTTCAGGTGCTTTGGACTGGACTGGGATCTGGGACTGGGATGAAGGGAGTGTGGTGGGCATTGGAGAGGGGGAAGGTACTTGTCACCCTTCTGTCACAGAGCAGATGGGCTCTACTCTCAGCTAACTCACTACTTGCACTGGAGGCATCAGTTTGTCCCCCACCTTCCTCCCTCATGGCAGCTCCAAGAGGAAGATCCCAGCAGCTTTGAATTCCTCAGCATCGCTTTCCAAAGCTGTTAATGAAACAGGTTTTGAAAAGAACAACAAATAACCTGAAATGACTTTATTCCCACCCTCCCCTTCTCCTCCCATCCCTTTTGTTTCCTTGCCAGGTCTCCAGATCATCTTCCCTCAGTATTTACAAGAGAAGTTTGTCCAGTCTGCCTTGAGTTACATCATGTGCAATGGGGAGGGAGAGTACATCTGTCGTGACAGCCAGTGTGGCTGTCAGTGTGCTGAGGAGTTCCCACAGTGCAACTGCCCCATCACTGACATCCAGATCATGGAGTACACACTAGCAAACATGGCCAAGACCTGGACAGAAGCCTATAAAGATCTGGAGAATTCAGGTAATCAAGCAAAACTCAATTTTCCAATGAATTTATTTCAAATGAAACATGTCAGGTTATACCAGGTAAGAATCTTTTCTTCCCTCAGTGTAATGCTGTAGTTTGGGGGGGAAATGTAGAGGCTATTGAACTCAAAACCATGATCTTAGTCTTGAGGGAGTTTTGTTTCTCTATTAAACACACAGACAAGAACACACACCACACATAATTCTATGTATAGAAGGATATTTTCCATGGAAGTATTTGTTTGACTAAAAATCTGGGGTTTTTTTCATATCAAACCAGTTCAGAATCTCTCTTTTAATAGTTCTACAGAGAAACTTCCACAATATGAATGATGCAGAAATTGCTTTTCAGATTTGCATGAATGATTTATTCTGCTTTGGTGAAAGGCAATTCAGAGGCAGAACACACCAGCCAGATGACACCTCATTTGAGACAGAGAGGACAAGGGAAAATGACTTCTGTCTCCTGCAGTGCCAGTGACTGCTGGTCTGAACATTTCTCTCCTCCTTTCACTTGCTCCCAGGGTGACCCTGGGGGTGTCAGCAGTTTGTTCCACATTGATGCTGGTGGTAGTAGTAGTTGACCCATAGTAAGTGTCCTGTAGTACTCAAGGGATACACAATCACAAGGGCTTGAGATAGGAAAGATCAACATTACCAGTGAATCCTGTCCTATCTGTCTATCCTGAAGCCATACAAGCACCAAGCAGAACTTCACTAGGAACCTGTCCTTGTGTTGAATCTCACCTCTTAGTATTAACCAGTTACATACCAACACCGATTCTTTAATCATTATTATCATAACTCTCCAGGTTAAAGCAAGAAAACTATGAAGAAAGGGCTTGATTTCTAGCTTGATTTAAGGCACTGAAGAATTGCTCTTCATAAGTTTTCACAGCAGCAATTTCTTTCTTCATGCTGGAGGTCCCTTTAATGGCTGAAATGGAGCAGCTGATGGTGTTTCCTCAGAGGGCTTCAACATGTGGACCCTGCTGGTGTGTCTGCTGCTGCACAGATTCTTATGTCCCACTCATGTTGTCAATGCAGTGCACAGCTGAGCAAAATCTGAGTTGTAGTTAATGGCCTGAGGCTAATAACCACCTTGAAAAGATCTTCCTACATACTGTGGGGAGCCACAGAGCTGGGGCAGTTCAAGAAGTAAGGTCACTAGCTGAAGAGGTCAGAGGTTTTCTGGGAGTTTCTGTAGATTCATGGATGGGGTGGGAACATCAGAGCAAACCAAAAATGTGGATTTCAGCAGCTTTGCCAGCTCAGGACTAGGCAGGTAGGATTTCTGGCAGTGCTGCCAGCACAGCTCTGCCACTGCTTACGTGTGACCACTCATTAGTTCTGCCACAGGATCATCACAAAAGGTCCTCAAGAGCCACAGGTTGGCCACCACTCATCAAACCCCTTCACCTTCTCAGAGGATCTAACCCAGGCCCTGAGAAGGTGAGAGCCCTATGGAGAGAGGAGTAACAGCCCCACAGTGACTGTTTGACTGGTTACATTCTGTCCTTGTGGCACTCGATCCAAGCAAAGACTGGGGGAGATAATTCTATTCAGACTTCCTCCTCTTGAGATTTCAGCGGGGGAAAGTGTTTTTCATTTGCCATGTTAAAGTGACACATTGCAGTGCAATTTCTGCCGAGCTGTAGCCATATTCCACCCAGGGCTGGAGGCTTTTCAGGGCTAGATGGAGTGATTATCTTTATGTCTAAAGCTGCTGCATCTCATTCATCACTTTGTTGCATCATGCGTGAACTTATCCTTTGAGATGAAAGTTGCTATCGCAAAAGGCTATAGTCTTAGTGTTTTGCTTCTTTGTTTTAATAAATATTCCCAATAACTAGAGGATTTTCTTCATTATGAACAGCAGAGGAGAAATCTCTGATGACATCTGAAGGCTTTTCCAATAAAGTGGACTGAAAGGCACATGAGTGCTCTGAAAGCAAATACCGTTTGCACAGGAAGCTGCTGAGAGCCTAGAAAATTTGTATTCTGCTTCTGGTCTGTGTTGGATCCTCTGTTAATTTGAAAAAATCATGCAGGGCAAGAGAAGAGTTGGTGTGATTTGGGATAGCATCTTCAAAGTCAAGGAGGCTGCAGTGAACCGATGCTGCTTTGAATCGGCTCAGGAGGTTTTTAGCCTTGTGCTTCATTGCTCGTGTGTGAACTGAGCAAAATAACACTGCTTATTCTTGGTATTTTAGTGTGGCTGGCCAAAAAAATCCTGTGCTTCTGGATTTAAACAACCCCTTTTGATTAAGCCATGGGATGGTGTTTTATTTGTTTGGGTTTTGTTGGTTGTTTTTTTTCAAGGCTATTGTTTTCTGATGAAAATGGGATTTATTTTTGGGTTTTTTTTAACATTGGGAGAAAATGCAAGCTTCATCTTTGAAAGAGAAGTCTGACATGGCCATTTCACTCTGATGTCACTTCTGCAGAGGTTGGACCCTCTGTCCTGTTCTGCCTGTGATGCT